GATTGTACTTTGTTAATCTTTCGAGATTGCACTTTTATGGTGATTTTAACACGTTTTTTCTGCCTATATATATCATTTTGCTGTATTGGCATACTGGGGTCTCTTCTCCTTGGTTTAAATCCAAGTAATAGCGCAACGTACAGTTTACTCACGGTCATGGAGTTAAAGTATGTTAATAAAAAAATAGTGTTAATAATTACCGGATGCTTCCGATTGAATGATATTTGGTCAAACCACCATGAATCGATCTCTCCGACAATGAAAGCAAATTATTTTACGATCGGGAGCGATCCGAACCCTTGGATGTCTACCACCTCTTACAAAAAAAAATGGGCTAGCTAGGGACTCAAACCTCACTTGCGAGCAATTGCTATTAAAATAAAAAGGCTCTACCATCACCGAAAATGCATCGATATCTTTTCAAGTAGGGGCTCTTACCACCAAGCGCCCAATCCAACCATAATGCAAGTAAGTAACATGAATCGGCTATCCCTCAAGCAAGTAGGAAAGAGCCCTCCTCTAGGGGTATTGACAAAATGTATAACATGATGAACTCTGGAAACAATGAAAGGAGAAGAAAGCTAATGCAGAAACAAAAGGTTTAAGATCTAAGTTAATAATAAATTGCCAAATTCGATAGATTGACTATTTGTAAAAGAAACAGATTTAGCAAGAAACAAACCGAGGAGCAAAATATCCATCAATTGCATTGCTTTCCATGAAAGAGTCAATAAAATATACTTATGAGGAAATGATGGAATGATGAAGAACTTGGGTATTTGCAACTGACAGTAATTGAAACAAAGCATTAACTCCCAAAAAAAAAAAGACATTGACCCGGAGCATTAACTCAAATCAAACAATCGAAGACAAATCTTGATGCTCGGTAGCGTAGAATACTTGCTTAGGTGGAGCCTTCTTTGTGAAGGATTCAGCAAAATCCAATTCTTGCCATGGGGAGAAGGGGTTTCTAGCTATCTAAAGTTCTGTGTATCCACTTTAGAGGCAAAGCCTCGTGTGTGCGAAATAAATTTGGAGCACGAGAATGCAAAAATTCGACTCCGATGTTACGCTTAAAAGTCCAACCAAAAGCTTAGTCCGCAACTAGGTGCAGGGAAGTCGCACGTGTACAAGGGCTCAATTAGAGATGATCATTCGGTGGGCTCAAGCTAAGCAGGTCTTAAAGGTCGGGCCTAGCTAATGTATTGCTCGAATCCGCCCACCAAATAAAATTTGTATAGCAATTTTTGGGCGGGTTGGATCTCCTGCGTAAAAGAACCGCCCAAACCTACCCGTTAATCTCTCAAGCCTGAACCGGCCGCCCGTTGATCACCTCTAGACCCGATCAAAACCCAGCAAACGTGGGAACACACTTAAACAAGACATCTCATCGCTCATCTGAATGCCTTTGATGGGGTGAGTGAACGACTCGGACTAATCGCCTCACACGTGCTCGAACGACTATCCACTTGGTTGCTCCATCCACATCCACCACATAAGGCATGAAGGACCCAAAAAAAAACACAGCATCAGCACTTTGTCCCATAGCTCAACAAACTAGCAAGAATGGTATCGTGTTCGAAGGAGTCCCTCGTCACCTGCTTGTACACATCTCTGGCGGTGCTGTAAGTTTCCATCTCTATATTGACCCCAGCAGGTAGGGCAACACGTATGCGATGGCCGTGCCAAATCACTATCACCTGGTTCCCCCCGTTTGGCACGCCAACCGGTTCTTGCCAAGTTCATTCATTAGAGTACTCGATAGATATATGTAGATAGATCGCTGCATGAAACTAGGGTTTCGAGAAATTAACCTTCATTGTTTTGCATGATGTGTCTTCTCTTTGTCCGAGCGCTTTCGTCCATAGCTTTTCCGCTTCTGTAACTGTGGTAGGATGAATGAACATGTCATTAAGGTTTATGATGTAGCTTACTATGACTCAAAAGGTATTGAGCTGCTATAAGTGAGAGACTGAGGAGGGTAGATATGTTCACATCTTCAAGCACTCTCTACCATAAACATTGTTGACACCTAAATTTTGCCTAATCATTTAGGATTTAATTACATAAAAAATTAGGGTTTAATTTTTTAACCCTTAAACAAAAAATATTTTCGTTAAATTGCACGGCATATAGGCGTTAGGTGCATTTGCATTAATAGGGTCTATTAGAACGTATTTGTAAAAAGTATATATAAATATAATATAAATTAAACTAAATTAAATTTGGAAAATTAAAAAGACAAAAAAAGATTTTCGAGCCGGTTTAACCCGGTTCGAACGAACCAGGTCAGTTGGCCCATTCTTCATTTTCTTTTTCTTATTTTCCCACGCGGGCCGGCCCCTTTCCCCCTTGGCCCGGCCCGCGACTGTTCACCTTCTCCCCCCTCCTCCCCCCCCCCCCCAACGTCGCTGGTATGGGGGAGAGGACGAACAAAAGCAGAACAGAAGCCAGAACGGAGCAAAGGGAGCAGAAGCTAGAGGCGCGGGGGTAGCAGCGTGATCTGCTGGTCGAGAGATCGGCCGGCCGCGGCAGACTGGCGGTGGCAGGGGTCATGCGCGCCTGCCTGCCGGCCGGCCTTAAATCACAGAGTTCCCGAGGGAGAACTGCGAGAGAACCGAGAGAGATCCCAGGGAGAGAGTGAGGTTGAGAGCATTGGAGAGCGAGATCCGAGGGTGAACAGTCTCCTGTCGGTGACCGCCACGCCTCAACCGTGGCCTGCGAAGCTCCGACGCGCCCCTTTCCTCTCGGTAGGTCCCGGCTCGAGCTCTCGTCGGGTTTCATTTTACTTGATTCGGGGTCGATTTCCCAAGGATTCCGGCTCGGAGGTGTGCGAGGCGACCGGACGTAGTCCGATCTATCACGTTCGCCTCCATTCGCCGCCGCCGAGCCGAATAGGGAGTGCCGTAAGCGGCCGCCCCCTCCTTCCCCTACTTCTGTTCCTTCCCCTGTTTCTCGGGCTCATTGGCCGGAGCTCGCGGTCATCCGGCTCGCACGAGTTCCGGCTCGTGAAGCCTCGTGCTTGCTCCTGCTTCTCCGTGTGTCTCGTGTCGATGATTTCGATCCGTTTTGAGCCTCGATCGAACCTAAAATCTCTCATTTTCGTCGCGTGCTCCAACTATTCAACGTTATGTCTGAACCGAGTTTCTCGAGTTCGTTTTTGTCTGGTTGCATTTCTGGACCGACTGACTTGTGTGGTTATCCTGTGGCCGGCGTTCGGGGTCGTTGGCACTAGGGCCGACCAAGGTAGGCGCGGTGGTGTGTGACGCGGGGTGAGGAGGCTCGCTGTTTGGGCAGCAGTCCGAGCATGACCACGAGAGGAAATGGAAAGCCAGTCCCTCGTCGGGATCTGGCTGGTCCGTGACCGGCCAGTCCCTCGTTAGGGCTTGGACGGTCCCGGTCAGTCGTCGTGGCAGTGACGCAGCTGGTCCGGCAAGTCAGGTTGGCGGGCGGCGGCCAGGCACGGGCTTGGTCGTAGGGCTGAGTTTCCCGACCACTAAGGCCGGGGCTCGGTGTGTGGCGGTCAAGCATGGGCTCGGCTGCCAGACTGAAAACCCTGGCCGCGGAGGCCAAGGCTCGGCAGGCGGTGGCCGAGCATGAGCTCGGCCATGGAGGCCGGGGCTCGGAGGAGCCGGCATTCGGGCCGGCCGGCAAAGGCGGAGCGGCAGCCGGCATTCGGGTCACGGGTGCTAGGGTTTTGCGCGGGTCGGTTCGGCAACCGCAAACCAGGTCGATCGAGACCAGGTAGGGTTGGCTATAGAGTTTCGTTTTGAATGGGCCGAGATAAGTTGTGGACCAGTGTATTTAGGGCTTTTGGGGTTTTATTTTCTTATTGTGCAATGGGCTTTTGTTTTTTTTTAAAAAAATTCGAACTGGGCCCTTTTCTTTCTTTTTTTAATTTGCCAGACCGGGCTCAATGAATGAGTTCGGTCCGGTTGTGGACTTGGGCCGGCGTGCCCAGGTTAGTCTCGATCCGGGTCGGATGTGGAGATCCGACCCGGGTCTGTTTTTATATTATTTTAATATTATATTATTATTCTAATATTATAAAAAATTATTTAAAAATTATTGTAAAAAATTTAATTAAAAAATTGAAAAATTTTCGAAAATCAAAAAAATATTATTTGGACTTTGGAATTGATTTTTCTTACCTTATTGTGTGATTAGTGTCATATTTGATTGCACGTTACTTAGTTCACACACCTTGAATTGCACGTTTAATTTAACATTGCACGTGGTTGATTATGCATGCTATGTTCATGTGTTAATTGTTGCTTCCCTTAGCTTGGTTAGGAATCGAATTTTGAGATTCCCGATTAGTGTGAACACGTTAGGCGGTAATTGAACAAGGTTAGGTACCGAAATGGCACTAATTGGTCAATTAGATTAATCAAGTCTCCGTACCTATTGAATCTATGGTTCGTAGAAGTGAAGCATTTCTCCCATGCTTTACTTGGGTCTAATCGACCCATCAAAAACTGATTAGTGGCGACTCCTTGATGAAATTGATTTGCATGTTAATAACTTAAACCTAAGTCGCGAATTGGTATGGGCTTAGGAGAGCTCGAACTAGGTTTAACTTAATAATTCATTAGCCAAACCCCTTAGGCGACGAGGCCGGTTAGGGGAGGTCGCGACAAACATTAGCCTCAATGCTTTTCTTTTTTGTTTTTTGGCGTTGACCCGCATGGTTTCTAGCCCTTGAGAAGCGAAGCTGACGAAAAGATTCACAGTGATAGTATAATAATAGCTTCTTTACAATCATGGGTTGACTTGTGTATTAGTTCTGACACTTAGATTGTTGCCCTGGGATCTTGGTGCCGGTACACTAAGGTTAATACCATCTCCATTCGATGATACATAGGCATGACCACGGTCCAGGTGTCTCCTTCCACGAGCTATTACTATAAATGAACCTCATCCCTTCACAATTCCTCCATTGGAAATGCTAAATTTTCACTTTGTCTCGACTTGACACACATCACCAAAAACCAACCAAAATGTCTACCCGTACTCTCACCGCCACCTTCCTCCTCCTCATCGCCACCAGCACCACCGTCTTCATCACTGCCCCCACCACATCTAGCACTGGAGAACACGAGGCCCTTCGAGCAACCAAATCAATGATCTCGCAGGCCAAAACCTGGATTGACCACAATTTCATGTTCCTTGACCATAACAATGATGAAGAGATCGGTAACAAGAACAACGTGATGAGACATAGTTTGGGTCTGAGTGATTGCTCTAAGCAATACGGGGACAGCGAGTCTCGGCTCACGCAGTTGCTGGAAGGGGAGGATTACACAGCCGAGGATGCTTGGGCGTGGCTGAGCGGCATGTCGGCAAACCACTGGACTTGTTTGGATGGCTTGGGGGAGGAGGGTCATGCTTTTGATAGTTAACTTGACTCGCTCTCTTGGCCATGCCTTGGCTTTGTATGGAAGAGAAAGAAGTGTTAGGAGGGTAACTTTCTCGGTATTAGTTGTCTTCTTGGAGTGCTAATTTTTGGAAAGATTAGTTGTACTAGTCTAATAATAATACCAATAATAATCTACCAATGAAAATGAAATGTATATGCATGTGGGTTATCGAAAAGTAAAAATAGTACATGCATGCTAGGGTTGACACCAGGGATGGAAACCTTATATATATATATGCAGTTTTCATTATATACTGTCGATGGAAATGTGCTTTTATCATGTAGAAATGGATTGAGAATACTGAGTAAGATATATGTAAAAAAGATGGGCTCACTATAAATACAAAGAGTATAGATCTCGGATTGCTATGCTAGTTAACATATTCTATACTTGGTTCATCTTAAAGAAAAACATAATAGGTGCATGTAAATTGTTTGGAGAGGATAATGTGCATTTCACGTTTATCATTGAAACTAGGAGCGTATACCCATACAAGGGCTTGCATTATTCAACTGTTTAAAAAAAAAAAAAACTAATCGATTTTACGTCTACGGCACCATTTTTTGATAAAATCATATGGTTATCCCCCGTTTAAAGGAACACCGCCAAGGTTTGGACCGGACCCGAATGGCGGGCTTTTAGCATCATGGAATACAGCAACGTCCAAGGTCGATTTCGCCATGGCAAAGGACGGTTCCAGCACTCACAGGACGATCACCGAGGCCATGGCCACGCTCGCTAGAATGGGCAAGAGTCGGCCGGAGAGAGTGGTGATCCATGTGAAATCGGGAGTCTATAACGAGAAAGTCGAGATCGGAAGGGACACGAAGAACGTGATTAGACCTATTAAACGGGTGGGTCGGGTCGGGTCATAAATGGTCCGACCCAAATTGACCCATTAACCCGTTTATGACCAATTTATTCATAGTGTAAATATCTCGACCCATACCCGACCCGAACCATACCCGACCCGACCCATATTGCTAAAACACTTTTATATTTTACCTAATCTAGGAATACTTGTTTCTTATGATTTTTTTTTAAAAATTATACTGCTAAAACATTTTATGCAATACAAAGCTAGTGAAAAATTTTTATAATTTTTTTTAAAATTGAGGTTCTGTTTGTTTTACGAAAAATGCGACATTTCTAGAAAATATTTTTCATAAAGTCATTATCCAAGAAAATAAAAAAAAATTAATATTTTTTTATTTTTTAAATCGAATTTTTAATTATTTTATTTTTATTTTTATTTTTTTCTTTTTCCTTTATTTTTGGCCGATCGCCGGCCGCCGTGACCGGCGACTGACCACAGGCAAGGACAAGCTCGCCGGAGGCCGGCGAAGCTCGTTCTCGCCGATCCGGCGAGGACAAGCTCGTCGGAGGCCGGTGAAGCTCGTTCTCGCCGATCTGGCGAGGCTCCAGCCTCGCCGATCTGGCGAGACTCGAGCTCGCCGGCCTCGGGCGAGCTCTACCTCGCCGGATCTGGCGAGGTGGAGCCTCGGCCGAGGCCGGCGAGCTTGAGCCTCGTCGGCCTCGGCGAGGCTCCACCTCGCCAGATCCGGCGAGGTAGAGCTCGCCCGAGGCCGGCGAGCTCGAGTCTCGCCCGAGATCGCGAGGCTGGAGCCTCGCCGGATCAGCGAGCCTTGAAGTCGCCGGAATCGGGCGAGCTCGAGGTTCGAGCCTCGCCGGAGGCCGGCGAGCTCGAGCTTCGCCGGCCTCCAGTGAGGTCGTCCCGCCCCGGTGGCCGGTCGCCGTGGCCGACCACCGGCCGGAATAAAAAAAAAAAAAAAAAAAGAAAAAGAAAGAAGAGAAAAGAAAAAGAGAAAAAATAAAAATAATTAAATTTCGATTTTTTTTAAACATCTTTATAAAGAAGAAGAGAGTGTGTGGATGGGTCTAGTGGGTGGGTTGGACATGGGTTCCAAACTCAACCCATTTAGACCCATTTATCTTTAAGCTTTAAAATTTAAAACCCATTTAAGGTTGACTCTTTAAAATTAAGTGACCCATTTATTTTTAAATGGGTCATATATGGGTTTAAGACCCATTTTGACACCTCTAAACGTGATGTTCGTCGGCGACGGCATGGATCAGACCGTCGTCATCGAGAGCAGAAATGTTCCAGACGGTTCCACCACTTTGACTTCAGCTACATTTGGTAGGAAATTAAGCCCTCAAAACGTTAGTCTATGAGTAGTTCATCAATGGATTAGCTCTTGAACTGATCCCTCAAAATCTATGCAGCTGTCTCTGGGGATGGCTTTTGGGCAAGGGACATGACATTCGAGAACACAGCGGGCCCCCAGAAGCACCAAGCCGTCACGCTAATGGTCAGCTCGGACCTATCCATCTTCTACCAGTGCAACTTCAAGGCTTACCAGGACACGCTCTTCACGCACTCCTTGCGACAGTTTTACCGCTACTGCCACGTCTACAGCACCATTGACTTCATCTTCGGCAACGTGACCGTCGTCTTCCAAAACTGCAACATCTTCGTCGGAGGCCAATGGACCACCAGGCCAACATGGTGACCGCTCAAGGTCGAGACACGCAAACGAGAACACAGGGATTTCAATCCACGGGTCGCGGATTGCCCCCGCCCCCAACTTCGCACCAGTCAAGAGCTCCTTCAAGAGCTACCTGGGACGGCCGTGGAAGAAGTACTCGAGGACAGTAATCATGAAGACAAATCTCAACCGGTTGACAGACCCAAAGGGATGGAACGAGTAGAGTGGCGATTTCGCCCTCAAGACCTTGTTTTATGGAGAGTACATGAACTTGGGCCACGGCGCATTGATGGAGAGGAGGGTGAATTGGCCAGGTTTCCATGTCCTCAAGAGTCCTCAGGAGGTCAGGCCATTTTTGGTGAGAAGATTCATACAAGGAGAATTATGGATTCCTAAGACTGGGGTACCATTTTCACTTGATATTTGAAAAATAATGGAACTCATAAATTGAATTTAATAAACTTTATTGAGATAGTTATAATAAAGTCCCATGCCGCTATGGATCACTCTCCACATGCATTCGATTAAGCTTCCTCATTTTCGAAACTTAAAATGGTAAATAAAAGGGGTGAAAATCACAGCTCAATCAAGATTACACATATGTTGCACGTGAATTGCACATATATTGCCCGTATATCTCCCTTTGTTTAACATATCTTCGTTGAGATATTATCATAGAATTGTTATCTAATAAAGCCTATAAATAGCCTGATATATTCTTTATTAATAAATACATCAAGATATACAAAAACTCCACAATTCTCTCTTCCGCTTTATTATTTCTCAACTACAACAACATGATGAGGCATAGTTTGACTCTGAGTGATTGCTCTAAGCTCTACGAGAACAGTGAGTCTCGGCTCACACGGTTGCTGGATAGGGAGGCTTACATGGCCGAGGACGATCGGACATGGCTGAGCGTGTCAGAGAACCACTGGACTTGTTTGGATGGCTTGGGGGAGGAGGGTCATGCCGCTTTGGATGCCAAAGTTTTTTATGGTTAACTTCACTCGCTCACTTGGCCATGCATTGGCTTTGTATGCAAGAGAAAGGGGTGGAGGGGTAATTTATTTGCTTTTTGCTTTCTTGGTCTTAGTTGTCTGCTCGTAGTGCTAATTTTTGGAAGAGAGATTGTTTTTTCTTAATTATTTTTAATAGAATACATAACAAAGGGCATAATCATTTGAAAGATTAATAGTAGTAGTACAAGCAGCAGAAGTGATGATAATAATAATAATAATAATAATTATTATTATTATTATTATTATTATTATTATTATTATTATTATTATTATTATTAATCAATGCAAATGAATGTCCATGCTTGTAGGTTATCAAAGAAAGAAGTACATGCATGTTAGGGTCGACATGAGGGATGGACACCCTATATCTATTGTGAAGTAGCTAGCACTATTACCTAGAAGGGGTGAATAGATGTTTGTAACCAATCTTGACAATCATGTGAATATAGAATCTGTAGTGCTATTATCATTCGTCCACACTTCACGCAGCTTACTAGCTGGATTTCACTAGTGAATCAATCAGAGGTTATAGATAAGAGTGATAACACTCAATCTTAATAGATCTCACTATCTTAGAGTCACTCGTCTCACAATCTTAGTCACTCATCTCATAATCTTAGATAGACTCTTTTTACAAAAAATCTATCCGACATGCCAAAACATTTCGTTGCTTCATATACGAGGGCTTCTATTGTACTTTGGCCCACTAATAAATTCCTTATGGGAGCAATGGTTATCGCTCATAAGGCCTAGATAGGATAGAAACATCCTGCGCTCTCAAATGGACCAAAAAATTTCCTCGAAAGCTCTAGATTTTATGATTTATGAGATGCAATCCAATCTTAAACCTCTCATTATGTGCCATTGGATCTTAAATTTTATCGAAATATGCAAACGAGTACAAAACCTTCTAATTTTCTTGCTTAAATCTTAACCCTTTTCTAATAAGAGCAAAATTTAAAGTTGTCACGTAGGCAATTCAAATGCCAAGCAGGCATTGTTCTTCAATATTGTTCATCAAAAGGGCTTATTCAAATGAATTCATTTTTGTAATAAATATAGGAAACAAAAAATATTTTTCCTAATTATTTATTTTTAGTGAAATAAACGGAATCTTAGGGTTCTCGTTTCACCATAGGATTGTCACCTCTATAGATGAGATTGCCCCCGAATCCCCGACACAGGTGGGGGATTCCCGGCTCGCGGCGAATCCTCGCGTCATTCCCATCCCTACATGCTACAAGTAACACCAAACTAGTCAACTTGGTATCATACGAGTAAAGGGCAATTTAGTGGCGTGTTTCATTTTGAGCCATCGGATGTTTTACTTTGCTAATTTTGGCATCCATTTAAACGAGTAAATTGATGATTCGAATTTACCTTTAGATGGAGAGAACATAAATCCTTTAAGATCGTGAAGAAGGATGAGATTTCTTATTTCCATATATCATGTAATTTTCAAAAGTTGCTTTACATGTACATATATATATATATATATATATATATATATATATATATAAGTATAAACATTTTCGATTAGGCAATTTTTTCAGACAATCCAGATTTTTTTCATGAAGAAGGGGCTAAAATCGAATACAAAAAATTTAGCGTCGTGAATCTAACATCTCTACTTTATCACATAACAAAACATGAAATAATTCTCTAGGAGGCAACGAAAATAATCTAGTGTCCAAGGGTTTATCAATTCAAGATTAGCGAGCCAATCGGCAAGACGATTTCATTCCTGAAAGTTATGTTGCATTTTGAATTTTAAGTGAGAGCTCAACGGTCTTCTGATTTATTTAAACAATTATAACTGCACATTTGGCGGTAATTCAGAAGAATATATACCTATATATATAATTTATTTTTAAACAGTGTAGAATAATAAATATTCTTGAAGAGCAGGTTGATTTGGAAATCTTACTAGAGAATCTCAGTATTAATTAGGACATGAGTTGGATTTCTGATAATTATGGCTACAGGCAAGTCAATTAGGCAATCTTATTAGTGCCTAACCGACCTACCTCTTCTAAGATATCTTTCCTTATACGCTATCTAATAATAAATTTAGGTTGGCATAATACCATATATGAAATTGTGTCAATATATAACATGACCGGTCATTTCAGTATACGTTGTCTTCATAAGAAAATTACGTGAAAATCTCCATTTCCGTGATAAGAAAAATGAGTCGTGCATTCTTAATCTCTTCCCTAATCCTAATCCTTTTCCTCTTGAACTTCCATTGGGTCCAATCCACAAATGATATCGTTCAGGACACCTGCAAGAAGCTTGCAGCCAATGACCCAAAGTTGAAGTTCGACTTCTGTGTGAAGTCTCTTGGGTCAGACTCAGACAGCCATGAGGCGGATCTCGAGGGACTAGGGTTGATCGGGCTTACGCTGTTACAAGCCAACTTTACAGGCACGATAGAGTACATTAAGGCTGCGCATGACAACTTGCCAAACAATGTTTGATTCTGTTCTTTTGTTCGCAGAATCAGTTTGGGAACAGAAATGCGTTTGTTTAATTTTTTGATTCTGGGCACAATTTTGTCAAAAATTGTTCCCAGAATCAGTTTTGGAGCAGAATCAAGAATCAAAAAAAAGTAGCTTCTTGATTCTGGGAACAATTTTGAGAATCAATTTTTTTTCTTCTTCCTTTTCTTGGTTTTTAATTTAGCTTCTAATGTCCGGCCCGAGGACCGCCCTCGCCGGATCTGACGAGAATAAAATATTTTAATAAAAAATATTATTAATAAAAAATATTTTACCGGCCATGGCCAGCGACCAGGCCATGGCCATAAAAAAGAAAAATATATATTTTTAATAAAAAATATTATTAATAAAAAAAATATTTTACCTGCCATGGCTGGTGACCAGGTCATGGCAAAAAAAGAAAAAATATATATTTTTAATAAAAAAATATTATTAATAAAAAAAATATTTTACCGGTCATGGCCAGCGACCAGGCCATAGCTAAAAAAAAATAAAAATGTATATTTTTAATAAAAAAATTTAATAAAAAATATTATTAATAAAAAAAATATTTTACCTGCCATGGCCGGTGACCAGGCCATGGCAAAAAAAGAAAAAATATATATTTTTAATAAAAAATATTATTAATAAAAAAAATATTTTACCGGCCATGGCCAGCGACCAGGCCATAGCTAAAAAAAATAAAAATGTATATTTTTAATAAAAAATTTTAATAAAAAATATTATTAATAAAAAAAATATTTTACCTGCCATGGCCGGTGACCAGGCCATGGCAAAAAAAGAAAAAATATATATTTTTAATAAAAAATATTATTAATAAAAAAAATATTTTACCGGCCATGGCCAGCGACCAGGCCATAGCTAAAAAAAATAAAAATGTATATTTTTAATAAAAAAATATTAATAAAAAAAATATTTTACAGGCCATGGCCGGCGATCAGGCCATGGCAAAAAAAAAGAAAAAAATATATTTTTAATAAAAATATTTTAATAAAAAAATATTTTACCAGCCATGTCCGGTGACCAGGCCATGGCAAAAAAAAAATAAAAATATATTTTTTTAATAAAAATATTTTAATAAAAAAAATATTTTACCGGCCATGGGGCGGCGACGTGCCATGGCCCAAAAAATAAAAATGTATATTTTTAATAAAAATATTTTAATAAAAAATATTATTAATAAAAAAATATTTTACCGGCCATGGCCGGCAACCAGGCCATGGCAAAAAAAAATAAAAATATATATTTTTAATCAAAATATTTTAATAAAAAATATTATTAATAAAAAAAATATTTTACCGGTCATGGCCGGCGACCAGGCCATGGCCAAAAAAAAGAAAAAATACTTTTAATAAAAATATTATTAATAAAAAAAAAATTTCCAGTCATGGCCGGCGAGCATGCTATGGCCAAGAAGAAGGAAAAGAAGAAAAGAAAAGAAAAAAAAGAAAGAAATATTAAAATATTTAAAAATATTATTAATAAAAAGAAATTTTGTGGCGTTACCAAACGCATTTCTGTTCTTTTTCTATTCCAGGGATGGAATTTTGGGCCGTTAACAAACGCCTTAAAATGCTCAGAATCAATTCCGGGCACAGAATCAAAAAGAATCATTTCTGACCAGAATCTGTTCCCGGGCACAGAATGGTTGTCATGCGCAGCCTAAGCAACTACTAAAGCAAAAATTGGAACCGCACCTACTCAAAGCACTCTCGGTTTGCTTGGATGTTTACATCTCTGCTAAACACAAAGACCTAATCCCATATTACAAGGCAAAGCGTTATGCCAATGTGAATATTTGGGTGTCTGCGATGATGACTAGCAAAGAGACGTGCGACACTCGAGATTCGAGGAAGGGAGGCATGGTTCCACCTTTGACAAAGCGTAATGCTAACGTTTATCAA